GGGATGCACCAATAGAGGGTTTATGGGCCAACACCAATTGCCAATTGTTTAAGGAGCCATATCAGCCAATACCAATCTGATTCCAATATGCAGCCGGGAAGCTTGAGGACCAGCGTTGGGCTGGTAAGTCTGGAGTGGGGGAAGGGGCATGGGGGTAGGCAGATTGAGGTCCCCACAATGAAGGAGAGAGTGAGGCAGGCACTGCTCAGCCATGGTGGGGTGTGGGATGGAACTGTGAGGGGTCATCAAGGGAGTGCAGGGGAAGGGTGGCTCCTGCTCTGCATGCATCCTGGGAGGGCATTGGGGGCATGTGTCCCACAATCTGCACACAGGTCAAGGGCAGGCTGCTTCTGTGGGCTGGGGCCAGGGGCTGTGCTGGGCTCTTTCTAGTGTGGGGCTAAGCCAGGCTGTGCTCAGGGTGGGTAGCAGTGGCACTGGGAGAGGGCTATGGGGGGAGGTGGCTGCCGCCCCAAAATTTGCCATAGCCCCCCTGCAGACCCCTCCCAGTGCCACCACCCACCCTAAACACAGCGTGGCCCAGCACCCCCACCAGGAAGAACCTAGTGCACCCCCTAGGCCCAGCCCCAGCCCACAGCAACAGCCCACCCTGCCCTGCCCCTCACACAGATCCAGGGGCTCACCCCACCATTCCCTCCTGGGGTGCATGCAGCAGTGGGAGCCACCACCCCCTCGTGCCTCACCCCAGCTGAACATCCCCTGTCCTTGCCCCACTCCCTCCCTCAGCATGGGGCCTTGATCTGTACCCCCATACCCCTTCCCTCCCCCCACAACTGACTGACCAGCCAGATGCTGGTCTCCAAGACTCTGGGCTGCACTCCTGGCCATATGCATGCTGTGGCTGTGTACATGAAAGGGGCATTTAATTGGCCACAGGCAAAAATAACTGATTTCTGATACTGTCGATTTTCCCAATATCGGTGCTGATCCAATATGGGAATGATGTATTGGTGCACTTCTACTAAACTTGATCTTAGACCACAAGAGGCTGTGAAGTGAAAAACTTGGGTGAATTACTACATTCACACTTATTTCTGCATACAGCACCCAAGTCCTTCAAATTTAAGAATACAGTTTGCCCAAACCTATTATTTCCTCTGCTAAGTAGTGAACAGTAAGGCTGCCAATAGAGCAGCACTTTATTCGATTCATTTCATGAGGAAAATATGCACTAACACTTAACAGGGAAGTCTATTTTGACTTTTTCTAGTGTTATTGATCTCCACTCAGACCTACTGTCTCTTGATCAGATCATAATTTTTAGTCCTTTACTTATCATGTATTAAAGAATCATTTCCAGTAAAATCAAGTACACGCGAGGAAATTAGGCAACATTCCAGAGAATTACTGTAACAGACATTTTTAGAACTGTATTTCTTCTAACTTCTTATGACAGAAGCTTTGGGGCCAGGTACTCGTCTCATTTACACCAATGTAAATCTAGAGTTACTTGTCTGCTTTCACTGCGATGCTCTTTAGCTCATGATTTACAACAGGGCTATTCAACTGCCTGCCTGCCAGGGCTATTCAACTGGCAGGCTGCATGAAGCCCCCAAGGAGTTAACCTGGGATCCTAATCGGGGCTCTGGGACCCCAATCTAGGTCCCATTCCCCTCATGACTCTGCTGCTACTACTAGGGTTTTGCTCCATCCTCCAGCACCCACCTCCTGCCCCACCCTGAGAGGTGAGGTGATCTAGCACAGCCCTCAGGCCCATGGCTGCGAGGTTCAGGGGGCACTTGAGTGTCTGCAGCTCAGTGGCAGGATGGGGAGGGGTCATATAGCATAGCACAGTGTGACATGTGGCCCACATGGGGTGGGTGTGTAAAGGAGCCTGTGCCTACAACCACTCAGGAATAGCTACACTCCTGTATGCTGCAGGGAGCAAGGAAGGAGCAAACTACCTGTGATTACTTGTTTAGGAAAGCCAACTCTCCACTGTAGAACTGGTTACAGTTTATACTCCTACTTTAATACTCAGTGGCATTGAGTCACCAGGATCTGTACACAGGTAGCAATGCCAATTTCTCAACTTCAGCAGATGGAGCCAGAGAGCCTAAGGGGTGCTACTTACATCTTTAACTATACTTATAGGATGTATATGGAATAACAAGTCTTTATAGGTACAAACATCTTACAGGTCTATTTAAAAACCAGCTTTTCTAATACCAGAAGCCATTTTTCAATCTTATATAGTTCATTTCAAGATATGTTCAAAAGAATTGTTCTCATTAGGGTTGTGCGTAATGGGCTGTATTCAATTCAGATTTGGCCTGAGTCAGGGATCACATTGATTCAGATCACTGTCCTGATTCGATTCGGCCGTATTCGAATCTGAAGATTCAATGCCAATTTGGAGAATCAGCAATTAGGCTATAGACACAGCTTTAAATGTTTTTTCTACATACCTTGAGGTACCAGGCACGGTTCGTGAATGCTGCAATGGTGGGGAATAGAGCATCTCACAGGAGCACAGGGGGGCCTCCTGCATGCTTGGTAGCGAACCCGGAAGTGGACCAGAGGTAATTCCGCTCCTGTGTGATGCTCCATCCACCCCACCATCTCAGCATTCACAAGCCACCTCCTACCTCGAGGTATGTAGAAAAAACATTTAAAGCTGTGTCTGTGTCCGAATCATCAAATCTTTCCAAATCAATTTGGAGGTTTCAGATTTGATTCAGAGAGATTAAAGGGTCTCCTGATTTGATTCAGATTCAGAGATTCAGCCATTGAATTGGGCCAAATCTCCCCCAAATCAAATCAGAGACCAAAGCTTTGCACAGCCCTAGTTCTCATCTGTTCAGGAAAACCTGAGTCATTAGGTTCTGTGTGGGTGACCTGTATTTGGGATGATGAAACACCTTTCCCTCTCGTAGATATTGCCTTTATACAGTAAAGGACCACACTTCCTCCAGATGATGGGAACAGCTATGGGCACTAAAATGGCCCCACAGTATGCCAACCTTTTTATGAGCCACCTGGAAGGAGACTTCCTCAAGAATTGCACCATCAAACCCTTGCTATACTTACGATACATCAATGACATCTTCATCATTTGGAGTGAGAACCTGCAATCTCTGATTGAGTTCCACCAGAAATTCAACACACTAAATGGCCCCACAGTATGCCAACCTTTTTACCTTTTTTTTTTTTTTACACACCAAAAAAGCAGTGATATACAGCCAAGCCCTCAGATACCACCGCATCTGTACTGAAGGGAACACCCGGGATTGCCACCTCACCAATCTTAAAAAGGCTTTCACCCAGCAAGGACACTCCTCCAGAGAGGTAGATCGCACGTTTGAAAGAGCCACCTGGATACCACGTGAAGAACTGCTGCAGTACAGAAGAAAAACACCCACAAATCGCACACCGCTGGTTATGACGTATCACTCCTCCCTTGAACCTGTATGGAAAATCCTCAAAAAATTGCAACCCATATTAGAAAAAGACCCTATTCTTAAAAAGATCTTCCCAGAGCCACCCATCCTAGCCTTCAGACAAGCACCGAACCTCGCCAACCTCATCACCAGAAGCAAACTTCCTCAAGCCCAGAACACACCAAAAGGATCTAGACCGTGCCATGACAAGAAATGCAAAACCTGCCAACACATCTCCACCACCCCAGCTCTTACTACACCCCACAACAGAGCCATCAGCATCCCTGGATCTTACAGCTGCACCTCCAGGAATGTAGCATACCTCATCCAATGCACCAAATGCCCTGATGGAAGATATGTAGGAGAGACCAGACAACAACTGCGCACCAGAATGAATGCACACCGGAAATCCATCAAAGACAAACACCCAATTACCGGTGGGGGCACATTTCTCACAGGAGGGCCACTCTCTCTCCAATCTCTCAGTCCTGTCCCTCAAGGGAAATTTACACAACACATCCCAGAGACGAGCCTATGAGCTCCATTTCATCAACCTGCTGGATACTAGAGATCAGGGACTAAACATAGACATTGGATTGTTGATACATTACAGTCTGCCTGGCAACTGACTCCCGAGCCCAGCCCCTGGCTCGTTTACTTTTCATTCCATCCAGGAAGAGCACACACCAACTGCTGCAGCTTCCTTATCCTGACGAAGGGTTTTTGAACCCGAAAGCTTGCTTAATAACTATTCTCCAACCATTTGGGTTGGTCTAATAAAAGATATCAAATTCACCCAAGGAACCTTGTCTGTCACACTTGTATCTAACCTTCAAGCTGGCTTGCAAGACCATACTTCTAAAAATTGCTTAAAAACTAAAATTAGAGATACTAGGTTGCACCACACCACTGGCAGGTAGACAGCTGCACCAGTTACCATTTAGTTAGGCCTATAACAGCACCTACCTAGCAGTATCTACTATGGTTACAGAGACAGCTGGGCTTTGGGCTTCCTTTATGGATCTATTGGAGGCGACGGTCCTAGCAGCTCATAAAACGGTAGAATGGAGACTCAAGTCTAAACAATACCAATCCACCCTGCCCAAGATTTAAGATTTTGCAAGTTTCAATTTTAATCCAAACCAGAGCTGCCAATTTTTGCACAACTGCCAATACCATCAAGCTTAATCATTTGAGAATTCAAGGATTTTAAACACGCACAATATATGTGACCATTTTTGTTCGCCTTCTGGGTTTTGAGTCTATAGGATTTACACTGGTTACATATTTTAGCTTCTCTCTGAAACCAGGGGTGTAGAAACTTGCTTGTAAAAAGGAGCACTGTTTCAGTACAGAAGGCTTCATTATTGGAAAACAAACAAACAAACTCCAGGCCCATAGCACATTTAACTCATAAATAATTAAAAGCTGAAACATTACTACCTGCTGAAGAACAGCCAACCATTTTCTTTTCAGACATATCCAAACATACCTCTTTCCAAAAAAAGAAGAGGGTCACCTAGTTCCTTAAGAGATGAGGAAAAAGACTCAGAAAGTACAGAACAAGGGACAGAAGGAGAGCCGAGGCTACTTCACACTTACGCTGCTGCTCACAAGCAGTGAGGAAGAGCTTGGTACAGCCATAGGGAACTGTAGTAGAAGGTCTCAAGTATGTAAAAAGACCTGGGCCAGCCCCTATTCCCTTGTACCCATCCACGTCCTCACATTGCATATCAGGTCCTGCAATTCTGTACCCCCTTTCTTAGTCATGCTCCATCAATTTGATTGCCTATCATTTGCTGCTTTCACTGACTGCTCCTCACAATGAGACTCCATACTGGCCGAACAATAGCATAGAGGCTTGAACAGGACCTCTTTAATCCTAGCACCTCAATCACCTGCCTTAGGTTGAAAACGGGCAGCTGCAATAGCTAAAAGCAGACAAACTCAGCAATGTGGCAGGCAGGCAGAATGATTGTGAAGCATGAAACGTTTGGCAGTCCTTACAAACACTGGCAACAAAGCCTCTGGCTCTGCTCCAATTCATACTACAAGCAATAAACTCCAAGTACAAAGCAGCCCTCTCATATTTCCTCAGAGCTCCTTCTGTTAGCTTTGAACAACCCCTACCATTCTCAACATGCCAAATCTAATGAGGCCCAGCTGCACCTAACTGGTTCCCAAATGTACTGAACCCCCACTTCGAACTCTTGGTAAAAATTAACCTACCATATTCCATGCAATGGACTGACTGATTCATTGGAACCTCTCCACTGAGTGCATGAGGGCATGAATGAAGACGTTGGACACCTGCCAGGGGACTTTTCAGTGGGCAGTATTCTCTTGTTTTGGTCTGTCGTGAAGCGATTTTTCTCTTTCCAAAAAACTCTCTTAAACTATTTTGGAATTATGATAAGCACGGGGGGAGAGGGGGGGGATATAAAAAAACCCAACCCACTTCAACAAAATGCAGAAAGAACATCTAATTCATAAGTAATTAGAAAGCTGAACTTTATCATTTGAAATTAACAAAGGAGGGTTATTACAAACATCTAAAAAACTCATTTATCCTCTATGCAGTAGTAACTTTTGCTGATTTTGAGAGCGTTAACACTGGGTGCCAGATTATGTCCAGCTCCAAAAAGTCTCTCTCTCCCTCTCATACAATCCAAATAGGAAGTGTGCAAATATGCAATATATGTACTCAAAGAATTCTCCTCCCTTTAAAGATATATGGTGCCCGAACTGAGGGATTGGGTAGCAGAGAGAAAGACCTGTTGTGCCCTTCTATAAAAGTCATGTATTGTATTGTATTTAATATAATCTTCAAATATGACTTATATGCAGTACAGGCAGCAAATGGTGCTTAAAAACATGTTAAATAGTCATGGATAATCCTAGGTTTCCCACCCAAATTCTTCCCTGCTACATAAACAGCTTTTATCTTTTTTAAAGGGATTTAAAAAGAGCAAAATCAAAGCAGGTTTGCAAAGCAAGGCCACATAGTTACATCTGGTATTTATGAGAAAGGAGAGGAATGGAGCTGTATATGAAAGAAAGCCAGAGTTTGATTGTCATATTCTTTAGTGCTTTCATTATGTTGCTGTTGTGGAGACTGCAGCACAATTGGCTTATCACTTGTTTACCGAGTAAGATCCAGCTGGGAAAATCAGTTCCTCTATGAATAAATAGGGAGAGTTTCTTCATGAGCATATTTGATTTTATTTTATGTTCTCCTCATAAAGTTCTGAAGCCCTAGAATGCCACCTCTTCTACAAGGGGTTTCCAGTCTTGCAAATGGAATTATTGTGAATATTGAGGTCATTTAAAAAAGATACTGCCTTCTTATAAAAAAGGTAGAATTGTAAAGCTGTATATCATTTGAATCCAGATCACGTGCTGCCTGTTACAGAATGTATAACCCAGAAGTGCTTCCTTATGAATTAAGCACTCATCATGTATTTTAACCCCCTTGGAGAAAATTATGCAGTGCTCTGAATTGCCTGCATGAGTTATCTTTTATTCATTAGAATTCTAAATGTTATTGAAATGTATTCTTAATTATTCCCTGCTGAAAACAGTGGTGTTCTTGAACAAGTATTTTGCATTTGTTATCTCCTGCTGCTATCATAGTTAATAATGCATATAATAATAAAAAAATAAGAAACTATCATTGCAGAATAATAGAACTTATTAATATGATTCAATTTAGGAAATTTTTTTATTTCTGGCTTTCAAGGCATGTGAACGATGTTCTCTGGATAGTTAAAACATGTGGAACGTATGCGGTGGGTCTAGCATGGAAACACCCTAATTTGCCTGAAAGGTAACAGGTATATTGATTATCTACCATCTCCTGGATCAATTCCTGAACAGCACTAGAGCTTACTACTGGGTTCTAAAGTTCATCAACATGTTTATTATTATTATTATTATTATTTACCATAAATGGCATTGGAAAACTTTCATGGACCCTTTTTTTTTCTCTGATTGAAATGGAAAAACCACCCTAATGCCTTTGAGTCTTTTTGTCTTCAGTATTCTGGCCTGGTGTTTGACAGGGGGGGGGTTCATTCCATTTTTTTCCTTGGTCCCCTTTTATTTCGCCACTCCCTGCTTCACATTTTGCTACTGAAAGCAACAAGGAGGGAGAGAAGGAAAGGGAAAGAAAAGCATAAAAATGGTTTTGGAATCCTTAAGAACCAGGTTCCTCTGCAGCTGTGATGCTGGTGTAACTCCATAGCTGTGGTAGCAGCTATTTACAACCCCACCCCCATTCAAGTCAGTACCCAGGGCTGTTGCCCCAGTCATCCTGCTACTGATCCTCTTCCCTGTCAGAGAAAGAGAAAGAGTTTCAGAATTTTTCATAGAAAAATTCAGAACATCTTTTGCTAAACTTACTTTCTTATGCACTTCCACTCAGTAGTCTTATGTAACAGAATGTAGAACAGGAAGGCACTTTCTGCGTCACTGAGTTCAGTCCCTAGCTCTTGCATGAACCACTCTCATAAATGGATCAAGGTCTGTTCTAAAACTGATTAGGTTTTTGCCCCGTTAGTTCTACTGTAAGGATGCACCAGAACCTTGCTCCTCTAACAGTTAGAAATCTAATTTCAGCCTGTAAATACTCACATCCAATTTATACCCATTTATTTATGTCAGCCTTGTCCTTTCACTTAAATAAACACAAGGGTAAGAAAAGAATTATCTACAGGATATTTATAGAGACCAGTCTGATCCCTTCGCAGTCTCATTTTGCTGAGAGAAAGAAGCCAAGCTCTTATAGTATTTTTTTTCTTTCCCTGGATAATCCTATTAGTCATATCTACTCTTGTTGAATTCTTTATTTTATTTTATTTCATTTTATTTTATTGAACATGGATGACCAGGACTACACATAGGATTCTAGTTGAGGACTCATCAGAACTTTAAACAATTTCATTAGTATTTCTCTTTCTCTACTAGAAATACCTCACCTGATACAACATAGCATACTTTTGCTTTTTTCATAGCCACATAATACTTGTGGCTCAGTCATCCTGTAGTCGACTAATGCAGTCAGCTGCCTATGTTCAGCATTTGGTGCCAACTGACGGTTAGTGTATAACCATGAACTTGTAACTATTCAATTTTATCCTATTTTTATTGCTCTAGTCTTCAAAGTTATCCAATTAATCCCATATGATATTCCAGTCCTCTTCTCATTGACAATGCCTCTCAGCTTTTACTGTTAGCAAAACAGCATTATTGTACGGGTACCTTTTGTGCCAGATTGAAAATATTAAATAAACTCAGTCCCAAGACCAGTCCTTGAAAAAGTCCACTAGATATCTCCAGCCCAGTAGTTCTCTGTATACCCTGTTATCTCCCTTTCAGCCAGATCCTGACCCAGTTTCAAGTGCATATGCTAATCCTCATCTTGTCCAGATTAAGTAATAATTTCCACTATAAACAAATGTTTCTATTTAAATCCAGTGAGTTGAAATCTATCACATTTCCCTTGTCTATACAATCAGTTATTTATCAGAGAAAGATATTGTGTTAGTCTGGCACTTTCTGCCACTGGTTGATTCATGCTGTATTTCATCTTGTTTTCCATTTACTTTCAAGTGTTCAATTATTCCTTCCTTCAAAATTTGTTTTAAAGCTTTGTATGCTATTGAAGTCAAAGTAATGGATCTGTAGTGGCTCAGCTCACTTCCTCCCCCACCCTTCCCTAAATAGAAGGACTATTTGTTATTCTCCCATTATATGGTGTCACCCTCTGTTTAATAAAACCCTTGCTACCAGAATTGCAGTTTTCTATGCCAGTTCTTTATTATGGGAGGGAAACTAGCTGGTCCCCCTGACTTGAAAGCATTAAACAATTTTAGTTTTATTTCCACCTGAGATGTGGTAATTTCCATTTTCATACACTCATTCCCATTACCCTCCTGCCTTAACTCTATATTCAATATCCCATCCTTACTGAAGGCTGACAAAGTGTTCATTTCATTTTTCAAACATGCAAAGCAGATGCTTTGTTGTGTCTTGGCAAATCAAGGGTACAATCTTAAGGGGACTGTGGGAAGGTCAGGGATGCCCGCATCACATAGATTCATACATTCTAGGGTTGGAAGGGACCTCAATAGATCATCAAGTCCGACCCCCTGCACAGGCAGGAAAGAGTACTGGGTTTAGATGACCCCAGCTAGATGCCTATCTAACCTCCTCTTGAAGACCCCTAGGGTAGGGGAGAGCACCACCTCCCTTG